AATAATCGTTACCAAAGTAGAATGGTAAATATACACGCGGGTTGTCGAGGGCGAGATTGGCGGCACGTAAACGGCATTCTTGTCGATTGAGTGCGCGAAGATCTGGGCTTCTCGTGAGGACTCTAGGCGCTCTGACCGTAGACGTTCTCATCGGAGTACGCGATGTAGAGGAAGAAATCTTCTTCGTGATGTTCCTAAACAAAAAATCAAAACAAAAAAATTAAAATGTTATAAAAAAATTTATAACTTTTGGGAAAATAGCAACAAAATAATTATTTATGTATATTTCAGTAGATTATTAGTTGTACTTTGATATGATATCAAAATATTTATAAATATCAACTCGGAAGTAAGAAAAAATCGAAGTCAAAGTTGCAAGATAAAAATTTTCAATCATAAAATAGTATAAAGTTTTGTTTTGTTAATAACTATTGTTTAAACTAAGATAACTTTGAAATTTTTGATTAAATACGTAGTCTTTTAGTTTATCTTTCTATTAATACCAAAATAATTAACTGAATCAACCCGGAAATGAACAATAATTGAACGCAAAGTTGCACAACTTTGCGCGCAAGTTCGTCATGTCAATCATAAACTTTCGCAGTTTTATGTCAATAATTTCTAATCTATCGATCGTAAACTAAAAATATTTGCATAGAAATGTAAATAAAGAGTGCATTTTTTAAATAAAATCAAGATAGTAAACAATTTCCGGCCAGAAGAACTTAAAAAAAAAAACAAAAATAACTAAAAAATTTAAAAAATAAATTTAAAAAAACAGTTTTTTAAGTTCTAAAGTTGATAACTTTTGTTTAATCAATGGTAACTACAATATTCTTGCGGAAGTATAAAATTGAATAGTTTCTCTTTCAGTTAATACCAAATTATGACATGGCATCAACCTGGAAATTAGGAATAATTAACTTTTAAATTGCGCAACTTTTCGTGACAGTGCAGAATCTAACCGTCAATTTAAATCATGCATACCCTTCGTTTTTTGTCCATAACTTTTAAACTATTAACAAAAACTGCATGATTTTTGTTTATAAATATAGTCAATTAATGCCTCTTTGATATCATATCAAAATATTAACTAATTTTAACTTGAAAAACATCAAAAATCAATTTTGAATCAAAAAGCACTAAATTTTACCTGGTACAACGTGCCCATGGTCGCCGACGTGGGCGGAATAACATTGTTAACAAAGAAGAACAAAGCGTCCTCAGGCCTCAAATGAATACGCTTCCGGATGAGGAAGTAAAACTGCCCGACGGTCAAAT